TGTTAAGTCGTTCACAGTCAAATCCGCTATGCGGTTCCCCGCATTCTTCCCTGACCGCTTTGGCGACCTTTTCCCTGTAATCGGGGTGACTTTCGTATACCTTGTGAGCAGTGACAATTCATGGAGGAGCCAGAGCTTTCTTTTTACCATGAACAATATTGCTCTGGTCCCTTTTGGCGTTTTTCTCCTTGTTAGCGTAGTTCGCAAACCATGAATCAAGTTTCTATGATTGATGTCAGTACAGCTTTTATAAAAGAGGGTCGATATCAGTTGTAAAAGTAGAACCATACTGACCCTTTTAGACGCAGCTCTCGCTATCAATACATTCTCCTCCTTCGTCCTTCCCGAATTATCCATTCCTTCTTCTTCTTCTTCTCCTTCTGGACTTCCTTTCTCCTTCCCTTTTGCAGGTCCCCCTGGTTTCTCCAAACTTAGGTCATTAGCGCCGGCCGTGGGAGAAGAACCAGTCGCGTTGGACACGTCAATTGGCGGATATGGGACTGGGGGGTAATTAGGAGGGAGGGGCGGATATGGGACTGGTGGGTAATTAGGAGGGAGGGGGAGGAGAGGTCGCTCCGTGTTATCTCCATCGACGTCCTCATCAACACCAGCACCGACACCAGCACTGACACCAGCACCGACACCCTCATCGTTAACATTTAAAACCCCTCCTTGCTCCTGCCAGCTCGAAGTTTGTATTTCTCGACTATCCGGTTCACCTCCTTCTTCTCCTCTGACGTGAGGTCGGGAGGGTACTTCTTGTGCCACTCCACGTTGAACTTCGCCCAGAACTGCTCGCGGTTTCCATGAGAGTCGATATACCCTTGAAGATGTTGAAAGAGGAGTTTGAGAGGCACGCCAGCGAAGTAAGAGGGAGCTCCACATTTCTTTTGCTGCTCCTTGGGAATCATTCGCTGTCGTCGTGCCATAGGTTACTCACTTTTTTAAAAGTTGACCGAATCGAAACGTTTTTTTTTTACAACAAGTAGTGGCGACAGGTGGCGACTGATCAAAAATTAGAGTCAGCTGATTGTCAGTTCACCCAGTCACGTGATGGTGCATTACGCGAGGAAAGGCGTTCGACGTTCGTTGTTTCACCATTTCCGCTTCGTCCCTATTTTTTCTGGTGAGTTTCATCTCTTGGCTATCTCAGCGCTACCACTGGAGGAGGTAGATCCGTCCTGTTCTCAATCCTGGGCACGTTTGTGATCATCTTTTCTGGCTTGGATAGGACTGAAATAGCCCTTTCATGTTGCCACGTATAAGCTACTAACGAAACATCTACTTTTTATTCAGGTCCTGTGGCTTTATCTTCGCGATCCTCTAACCCTGTACCCGACGAGAAACGAAAACGCACGTCACCGCGGCCAAAAAGCAGACATCAAGCCAAACGACAATCCTTTTTGACAATATCAACTGCAGCAACATGCCGGCATCTACGGGGCGATCTCTTGGGAAGGCCAGCAGGATAGTAAGGAATCAGGTTGCTGGGAAGTTATGGGCTGTTGAAGAGCTTCTTGGAACGGGAGGCCTTGGTTTTTTTGTTCCTGTTTCGTATGTATCATTTACTTTCATAAACTCCAGGCAAAAACTTGACACCTCCTTCTGTCCATATCAACAGCAGCAACATGCCAGCTTCTACATCACAATACATTGGGAAGGCCAACAGGGCATCGAAGGATCAGGTAGCTGGGAAGTTATGGAGTGTTGAAGAGCTTTGTGGAACTGGTTACCTCTGTACCTACCTTCCTGTTTCATTTGTATCAGGGTTTTTTTATAAAAGCTTCACCACGTTGTCAACAAGTTTTTTATAAGTAATAATATCTTGAAACCTATTCTGGACAGAAATGAGATAGTAATTGGAGCTGTCATCCCACCTCCACATCATGATTTAAATTGGGTAGCTCAGAGAGTTTCCCCCAGATTGGACGATTTTAATTCCCTCTATATCTCAATGCTCATCTCAGTCCTGGTGATTCGTTCACACATCACTCAACAGGAGGATATTTTATTATGTTGGGGATGGATTTCAGATCAGATCTGAGATGTCTGATATTTCAAGGAAGGAGGAAGAGAGACAGAGATAGAGAATCAATGAGGATCTCAATTTGTATTTGTCTATTTAAGAGTGGGAGGTTATAAAAATGGCTTAAAACATTATCAATAAATTTCTTTCTGCTGTTCTGAAGAACATATGAAGACTTGAAATTGTAATATGATATGAGATTGAATCCTTACTTCAGTGATTGAAACCTGAGTTCGTCATCTTATTACATCTTACTACATCTTACTGTGAATATCAGTTACTTTATTTGATAATCCCTCACATATTACTTTGGAATACTGCCCCTCTTTTCTCTCCAAAGTGTAACGCAGATGAATCTGACCTGGAATCAAGTTACTTATTATCCCATCCCAACTCTAGAGATCGTCAGCTTATCACATCTTACCAGCACCGGCAACGTGGTGAAACGGTCATCCCTAGTTGGACTTCTAGGCGATAAACCAACACATACTACGTTCGAATACAACCCCGCCTTTCTCTCAAGAAGTGCTTAGCGCAGATAGAACACGACCTGAAATCAGAGGTCAACGAATTTCAACACACATCCCTACTCTAAGAGATCGGCTTACACTATTTCCAGCACCGGCAACGTAGTGAAACGGTCATAACTCTATTGGTCTTCCAGGATGACTTAAAGCAAGAGGTTCTATATAGATTCGAACTCAAAAGCCAGCCTGTTCTTCAAGAATTAGCTGTTTTCAATCTTTATATCACCACTAACTGTAAATCACAGGATCAACGAATTTCAACATGATTATTTTTGATCTATTCCTTCAATGAGGTCAATTACTTTTTAATAGATCCTCAAAACATGGGTAGTCATTCAATCTCACCCAGCATTAAATCACTGAGCTAATAGTATGTTTTCTATTCAGTGAAACACAGACAATATTTTATCTCTTAAAAAAAACTGTAAAGGAAGGACACTGATCACTAGCTGATTGGAATCTGACTCGTTCTCGTCTGGTGGCAAGTTGAATGCAGTTCAACATTTTAGTAATTATCTCTCACTTTTATAAAAATGACGTTTTGGCTAATGTCTGTGTGAAACTAACTGCCAGCACGTCTCTTTTTCCACCTTTCACCATCATGTCTGAAATAGACGTTGCTCAGTTTCTTGGGTGCTCCCCAACTCTCAACACAGCTGTTGGTTCTACAGGCAAAGCTGGACAGAATTACAAGTATTACTTGATCCCTGGTGGCCCAAAGCCAGGGTCTGTGTGGATCAGTGAGTCTCATAGAAATTCTTTTGGAACGTTTACTAATAATGTCTTGTCATCTTTAGCCCAGAATACTCGCCAGAAGGAGCCCGACGAATCACTCCTCAACCACACTTGGACATATTATTCGATAGTCTTCACACCCATGACCACGTTCCAGTCGAGAAGCATCCGTTTTGTAATCCGTTTGCAGATAAGTCATGTCATGTTGGATTTTCTCAATCATGAAAAAAAAAATCCAATAGCTTTTATAGATGCTGTCTGATGAGTTTGTATAAGCTCGAGACATCGGACCGTTTCTGTATATTTTCCCGTCCTCTAATGGGATCTTCCCAGCCCTCCAAGCTTTCTCGTTCTCTTTTTCTGGAATGAACCTCTATGAGTCTACTGACGACTTAAAGGAGGAGAACCCATTTATCAAACATGTCCAACCTGTCCTAGCGATATCGTTCCCGCTGAACCATGCTTCAAATCCAAGGCTGCCTACTACATAACCATGCTTCAAATCCAAGGCTGCCTACTACATCGATACCCCCTGTTTTTTTTTAAACAGTTTTCTCCTTCGTGTTCGGTCGTCCCAGTCATGAAGGAGGAGCCTCTTGGTTCGAATCCAAGATTGTGCTTATCGAGTTTGTTCAACGGGTTTTTCTTGCGTTAGAAGAGGGGGGGGGGGGGAACTGGTCCCGTGCGGGCAAATCAGTGAAGTGGTCTAAGGCACGTAGATTTATCAGGTCCATTTTATAAAGCCGACCCTACTTTTACAAATCACACTTATGAAAGTTGACGTTACCATCCCTACTCTAGAGATCAGCCTTCACACCCTCCAGCACGGCAATGTGGTGAAACGGTCATCACCTCTTTAGCCTTTAAGAGCACAAACAAAGAGGGTCTTGGTTCGAATCCAAGCCTGCCCATTGAAAAAAGACAGCAAGTCTCAAATTTTTCACCTCTATTTTATAAAAGTTGAGCGTATTTTTACAAATCGCACCTGTCACTTTCATGAAAGTTGACGTTACTACCCCTCTTTTCTCTCCAAAGTGTAGGACTAACTTGGATCTCTAGTGAGATAAATATGGCCCGGAATCATGTTATCTATTTGGATCCCATCCCCACTCTAGAGATCAGGTTTCACTAGATCCAGCACGGGCAACATGGTGAAACGGTCATCACCTCTTCGTTCTTCGAGGTCACGAAGAAAGAGGCTCTTGGTTCGAATCCAAGGCTGCCTGTATGAGTAATGTTTAAAGAGGCTCTTTTTATAAAAGTTGCGCCTACTTTCACAAATCACACCTGTAACTTTTATGAAAGCTGACGTTACCCCTCTTCTCTCCCCATTGGATCCCATCCCTAGTCCACAGATCAGCTTTCACTTTGTCTACCACTGGCAACGTGGTGAAACGGTCATCACCTCTTTGGTCTTCAAGGTCACGAAGCAAGAGGCTCTTGGTTCAAATCCAAGCCTGCCCATGAGAGAGTCTGAAGTCTTTTTTATAAAAGTCAGGATTTTTTCTCAACTCTATTTCATAAAAGTTGAGCCTGCTTTTACAAATCACACCTGTCACTTTTTTTGAAAGTTGACGTTACTGCCCCTCTTTTCTCTCAAGGGTGTAGGACTGGAGCTTAGATCTTTAGCGCAGATGAATATGGCCCAGAATCATGTTATCTATTTGGATCCCATCGCTACTCTGGAGATCAGCTTTCACTCTCTCGAGCATGGGCAACGTGGTGAAACGGTCATCACCTCTCTGGTCTTCGAGGTCACAAGAGGCTCTTGGTTCGAATCCAAGCCTGCCCAATTGAGGATAGCTTGGAGCGTCTTAAGTCTTTTTTATAAAAGTTGGGATTTTTTTTCACTCTATTTCATAAAAGTTGAGCCTGCTTTTACAAATCACACCTGTCCTTTTTTTAAAAGTTGACGGTACTGCCCCTCTGGTGTAGGACTGGAGTTTGGATCTTTAGCGTGGCCCGTGATCATGTTATCTATTTGGATCCCATCGCTACTCTAGAGATCAGCTTTCACTCTCCCCGGCACGGGCAATGTGGTGAAACGGTCATCACCTCTTTGATCTTCAAGGTCACAAAGCAAGAGGCTCTTGGTTCGAATCCAAGGCTGCCTACTACTATAAAAGTCGGGGTTTTTTTCATCCCATCGCTACTCTAGAGATCAGCTTTCACTCTCTCCGGCACGGGCAACATGGTGAAACGGTCATCACCTCTTTGCTCTTTGAGGTCACGAAGCAAGAGGTGAATCCAAGGCTGCCTATTGCTAAAGGGAGCTTGTTACTGCCCCTCTTTTCTCTCCAAGTGTAGCGTAGATGAATATGGCGTGGAATCAATCCCATCCCTACTCTAGAGATCGGCTTTCACTCTCTCCAGCACTGGCAACGTGGTGAAACGGTCATCCCCTCTTTGGTCTTCGAGGTCACAAAGAATCCAAGGCTGCCTATGCATTTGAAGGAGTTGTGGTGCTTTACGTCTTTTATAAAAGTCGTGGTTTTTTTCAACTCTATTTTATAAAAAATGAGCCGATTTTTACAAATCCAAGTGTCATGAAAGTCGATGTTACTGCCCCTCTTTTCTCTCCAAAGTGTAGCGCAGATGAATATGGTCTGGAATCAAGTTACTTATTTAGATCCCATCCCTACTCTAGAGAACAGCTTTCACTCTCTCCGGCAGGGCAACATGGTGAAACGGTCATCCCCTCTTTGGTCTTCGAGGTCATGAAGCCAGAGGCTCTTGGTTCGAATCCAAGGCTGCCTATTCAAGGAGTGCTTGGATTTTTTTTATAAAAGTCGCGGTGTTTTTTCAACTCTATTTTATAAAAGATGAGCCAATTTTCACAAATCACACTTGTCACTTTTATGAAAGTTGACGTTACTCTTTTCTCTCCGAAGTGTAGTGCAGATGACCTGGAATCAAGTTACTTATTATCCCATCCCTACTCTAGAGATTGGCTTTCACTCTCTCCAGCACTGGCAACGTGGTGAAACAGTCATCCCCTCTTTGGTCTTCTAGGTGACAAAGCAAGAGGTCCTTGGTTCGAATCCAAGCCTGCCTTTCTTCAAGATGTGCCTTTTTGGTTATACAAAAGTCATGATTTTTTTCAACTCTATTTTATAAAAGATGAGCCGACTTTTACAAATCACACTTTTATGAAAGTTGATGCCTCTTTTCTCTCCAAAGTGTAGCGCAGATGAATATGGCCCGGAATCACATTACTTATTGGGATCCCATCCCTACTTCTCTCCAGCACGTTACTTATTGGGATCCCATCCCTACTTTCCAGCATGGGCGACGTGGTGAAACGGTCACCACCTCTTTGGCTTCGAGGTCATGAAGCAAGAGGCTCTTGGTTCGAATCCAAGGCTGCGTTTGAAGGGCTTGGAGAGCCTTAAGTATATTTTATAAAAGTTGTGCCTTCTTTTACAAATCATACCTGTTCTTTCATGAAAGTTGACGTTAATCCCCCTCTTTTCTCTCCAAAGTGTAGCTGAATATGGCTTGGAATCAAGTCATTTATTTGGATCCAATCCCTACTCTAGAGATCAGCTTTCACTCTGTCCAGCACAGGCAATGTGGTGAAACAATCATCAACCCGTCAAAGACCAACGAGGCTCCTGGTTCAGCTCCAAGGCTGCAAGTAGATTCAGTAGAGTTTTCAATCATTTTATAAAAGTAGACCCTGTTTTTACAAATTTCACCTGTCACTTTTTGTCTTTACTGCCCCTCCCCTCTCTCCAATCTGATATAAAAAATATCATCAGCTTTTATAAATAAATGCCGCTAATACGCCGTGCAAAAATTCTCGCATTTTAAGTATCAATATTGCGACTACGAGTGCCGATATTGTATCTTATAAGGGGAATATAAGGACTGTAGTGAGCCCTGAGCTGTCAGTCAAAGTGCGATATAGCTACTAAAGCTAGATATGGTGAAATGACTTCGGATTATTATTGATTCAAAGTTATTATGGCCTATGCTAGTCTCGAGATTGTAAAAACCTTCGATAATGACTTGGGACTGATGTTGGTGACTACCGATATCGGGAGGAACAGCTTATCGGACGCTCGACTTGTATATATTGTCACGATCCTAAGGGAAGGGGAAATGTTATGAACGGGAATCGAACCTTCGGCTTGAAGCCGAGTTGCCACAAAGTGCGCCACATAGCGAGCTACTTACTGATCACAGACTACGTCTGGGCTAGGAGTAACCATGCAAATAGTGATCGATGGAAATCTAGAAGGACCGATCGTGGAGGTGTATAAAAACCACCTACCCATGTAAAACATCCACTAGATTGGCAATGATTGACGACATAAAGGGTACAACAGAGTTGCCACCTTGATCGAGGGGTAAAAGCTGTAGATATTGGAGTCTAGAATGGATCGACGTCTTACTGATACATTGCGGAGATCGAGAATAACATAACTCGGACGCAAAGCTGTAGAACGGGCGACCGTAAGTTCCGATATCGTGACCCAAAGAATCAAATGTGAAGAACGGTTGAACGGTTGCGATCGAGTAAGATCGACTATAACGTAGAAAGTGAATATTCTGAAACAATGTAGTATTATACACGGACCGAGTACTATATCGAGTAGGACTATACCCAGTTTTGGTACTAGCGCACGGACAAGGACATTTAAATAGTTTCTTTTATTATATTTTGTCGGACTCTCAAGTTAATAGTTTCTTATTTACAGTAGTATAAATAGGGTTCAGGATTGGCGTAGAGAAAGCAGATTAGTACTGTGGACAACGCAGCTGTGATTTTGGTCATTCCCGGGGATATAAGTATCCTGCTTGATCAGACCATTTGTAGTTCCAAGAACGTCTAAACCTTAAAATCGCATTCAAAGTCTGTTACCTTCAGGTTCAGCACCCTATATTGATTGGACATATTGTGTTATTTGATCTTTGATTGACTTGTTTGTTATTTGAACTTTGCCATTGTGATCTTGTTATTTGACCATTTGTTTGATCCATATTGTTGCCATTGAACTTGAACCATTGACCCATTGACTGCTTATATTTGCACCCACATCCTCACACTCGAAACTTTGAACTTACCTACTACCTATATCGCTACAAAGACCTTGAAGGGTTCTGTCCTTTCAACTCACATACAAAAACTTGCTAGATCGTATACCTATACAGACTCACTTTTGTGGTGTTTGTTTTGGTGTTGTCTAGTTCCACACAGCAGATTACCGCTTTTATAAAAGTTGAATGCTCTGTCACAAAATGTGCTGAATGCGGTGCCGCCAGTCATGTAGGAGGTGTGCCGAGTAGCGAGACCTCGGCTCCGGAGCCCCCCCCCGGTTTTAAGCAGTTCCCGGACTAGTAGGCCAGTCCCCACCGCTAATCAGTCACTTTTGTAAAACACGATCTGACAACTTAACTTTAGGTTTATAAAAGTTTCACTGTATCTGGTGACACACTGACTCAATCCCCCTTACCATCAAAGTCAATAACTTGAGAGCCGTTACCTTCACGGTTGAAGCCCTTATCAGTCAAGCGACATATGTCAAATTGTCTATGAAACTGATTGAGAGAGGATCAAACGGTGATTCCTTAGCCTAGTAATATTGTGGACGTCAAGAGTATTGAAATTTTTGAATAACGTTAAGGGGGAGTAGGACAGCGAGCAAAATTCAGAAGATAAGTCACGATGGAGGATAGCCCTCAACAACGATGATTATACACATGTCATCAGATTGGAAAGGAAGGTATTTCCAAACAGGGATTTCTGAAGCATATTAGTATATGTAAGTAGCTAATATGAGGGTGGAATAGCACATCAGGAGTACTGTTAATATTAAATAAAATTAAAAGACCAAAGCTAAAAGATATGCGTCAAGTTGTTTGCGAGACTAATTGAAGGAGAGAAAGGATTGAACGAGGTTTCCTTAGCCTAGTAGTACCGTTGACATCGAGAGCATTGAAAATATTAAATAACGGAAAGAGAGAAGATAGCAAGCCAAAGTTAAGGGTATTTTCAATTTAGCTTGAGTCTAGTAGTGGCGTTGACATCGAGGATTGCGGACCAAGCATAAAAGACGAACGTCAACTTATTTGCTGAACTGATTGAGAAAGAAAAAGAGTAGAACGACTCGGAGGTTTCATTAAGCCTGATAGTTTCGTTTACATTAGGAGTATTGAAGAGAGGTACAGCCATGCTTCTGGCTTGATTATAAGACCGTATCAGGACCCATGCTTATGCGATCAGAGGTTTGATCTGAAAAACTTACTTTTTCAAAAATTTGTCCGAACTTTTCCGAGTGACCCCTTCTGAAATCCTGTCCGAACTTCGGCACTGACCTCGACCAAAAAAAATTTGTCCGAACTTTTGCTCAGACATACATTCATTCATTTTTGCCACTATAGATGCTCTACAACCTTGTACAGAGCTTAAAGTAACTCTAATGGTAAGTTTCATCAACTTCGTCTTCTATATCTTCTACAACCTCATTTACACCCTTCCTGGTCTTTTTTCTCTTGTTCAAAGCTCTAACATCTGTAGAGGATTGCGAAGGGTTACGCTTGAGAAAGTTCAGATTATCCTAATAATCAACAATACTGTACTATTCTATTTTGAACACTGGTGACCTTCGTTGAACTAGGAATTATTACCATACTCATCAGGAAAACAGTACCTGGATAATGTAACAATAAGTTATCAGAAATTACTGATAACCTTGTTAAAGAGGATAATGTCTCATACATTAGTTAAAATTAGTTGAAATTCTCTAAAGCACAGAAAATTAGCAGTCTTACATGTTACTATCTGAG